GCCGCCAATACCTATTTTAACAATCTATTCAGTGTTTATTTCAAGGGGTGTTCCCCTCACCAAGAAAAATGTTAGATTATGTTAACTAACAATAAAATAAAAGAAATATTATGTTAGAGGATTGAATATGAGATATAAATAACTTTTTAAACTTTCTTTTCTTATGTATACTAATCAATTGATGTGTACCGATAATAATCTTATCTTGTTATACATACTGTGCAATGACATAATTAATTAATGTGCTTTATTATTATTATATTTTGTGTAGGTCCATTTACACATAACCGTTCCGTATCCGTACCGTCGGTTCCGTGTCTGGCGTTTTAAGTTTGTACACATGTTTGGAAGTGAGCATGTTTATACATGTCCGTTCTGTATCCGCACCTACCATTTCCGTATTTTTAAATTTGTTGGAGACAATGTTTTTGAGTATTCCACTGATACGGATTTGGAAAATCGAAAATATATTTTTTATAATTATCTTTAACACAGAATGGTCGAAAAAATCGTAAATTTTGTATACTTGTTTAAACACATCCGGATGTTAAAACTCATTATATGCTTCTAGAAATTATATTATTCTGAGATTTGTTTTCGATATATATTTTATAATTACTTTCTACAATATCTAGAATGGTTGTGAGAAATCGTGAATTTGTATACTTGTTTCACCTATAGCCAACGAAAAGATGTAATTTATATTGATTTTAATAATATAATGATTTGTAGTATAATGATGTGCTTCCAAGCAATCATAATTAAATATTTATGTAATAAAATAAATAATTATGACCTTTAGCTATAAATCATTTATTAATCATGTAAGACAAAAATTAAATATTTAATTACAATATAATAAAATGACCTATAGTCGGATCATAAGAACAATAGATTAACACACACACACACACACACACACACACACAGGATATTAATTATAAAAAGGCCGGTCATCGCCAGTCATACACAGTGTCTTTTGTATAGACGATCACAAGCGAGAGTAAAAGACTACGCAGATCGTATATACAAGGAGACATGGGCATTGAAGATTGTTAACAGTAAAAATTAAAAATATATCATGTATTAAAAAGTTTTGTAATAAAGTTAAAAAGTTTAATCAAATAAAATAAGTGTTGTAATTTCTTAACGCATTCTGGTTACCTTCAAGACGTCAATAGAGAAAACATTGTCAGAAAGAAGAAAAAGGTAATATATAATACTATATATATAAGTCCCTTTTAGAATTATTACAGTAATGTGTATCAACTAATGCAAGTAATACAACAGTTAACATTTTTTTTTATAATTGAAAAAATTGTACCAGTAGTTGGTGGTGCTTGAATAGTGACGTGTTTTTCGACAATTAGGAAAATTCCAATTGTTCCAAAAATCACTTGCTATTTATTTCCATCTTTCTTCTGTGGGTTTTGGCATTACTTCTGGCATTAAATATATTACTATCAGAAGTGTTCCCAATAATTTTTTTGAGAATATACCATATCATCAAATATAAACATTTAATATAATAAGAATACCTATTTTTCTTATGGTTTATAGGAGTAAAGCCGGTAAAAAACGTGTTAATAATATGGAAAAATTTTTAAACCAGATTATAAAGTACCTATCATAAATATTTATCACATAATATGAATCGATATAATCACAGAACAATATTGAAACGACACTCAATCAGCTGGGCGGTCTACTGTATCCCTACGGTAGCAGTATTGGATTCTAAAAGTTAAAACCGTATCCGTAATCTGACTAGATGTTGGTAATATGTATCCCTATTTGTTACGATATTATAAAAACGGAAACAATCCATTGCCCGCGTGATTTTCATGGGTCTTATGTAAACAAACATTGCTAGAAACGAGCAAATTTTAAATTGCAATAGTTGCATTTTTTATTATTATTCAGTATTCTTTCAACAGTTTCAATTAATTTTCAACAATATATTGTTCTGTGATAATATTGATATTATTTATTTAAGTAATAACGTATGCAAAACCCCCCGGATACCGTGTTCAAGGCCAATGTCGTCTGATTTGATCAATATCAGACAGTGTCTATACCTTGATATAATATCGATTATGATTGAGAGCATACGCAGTATTTCCATAATAATGAAAAAAAATCTTGAGAATATACGACGTATATTATATAGTATACCTCAAGGGAACTTCTGGTTACTATACTGTAGTGATTATTATTATTATTATTATTATTATTAATATGTTTTGTTTACGTCGTCGGCGAAATGTCCGGGTTCGGACCACAACAACTGGAGTCTATTAATATTATTTATTGGAGGACAGAGAAGCAGTTCTGTCCCGTCCCGTCCGCCTACTCACTGGTTATGTAATGTCACATTAAATATAAATTCATTCCCAATATTATTGCTGTCATCTAAACAATTTAAAATGCATATTATAAAATTGTAATAGAACCACAGTGCAGTGTATTGTTATAATAAACACTATCATTCACATTCAATTTTTTATTTGTTTCTCCCCTGTGACCACGTAATGCTAATTCCTGTCTACCACACATTATAATACATTCAATTATAGGAATTAAATGTCTTCTGTTTTCTTTTATTTGAAGTGTCCTAAAAAAATATGTTTAATTAATTTTAAATTAATACATAGACTAATGAGAATATTATACAAACATATCACTATATCTATTTGTTCAATTATGCTTTTCTCTTTTTTTCTCTAATATTTTCAGAAAATATTCTGCATCTAATGTAGCATTTATATGATAAGTTAATTCACAATGATCTTGAAATACCTAAACAATTTCGTAGTGAAAATAATAGTTTTTAATAGATGTTCAAAAGTCAAAATAAATCCAAAATATACAATATTTTTATTTTAATAACCTCTTTAGCTTTTTTCCAATTATTAAATTCTTGTAATACAAGCTGCTCAGGGGGTTGATTTAAAACACTTCTAGTTTTTGAAAATATAACACATTTTTGACAAAATGCACCACTTTTAATTTCTAAGTATACAAACCAAGGAAATTTATCAAACCATTTTGCTTGGAACTTTAAACCTCTTTTTATTATGCTTTGATATGGAATATTTGTACATCTTTGGTGGTACCCAAACATTTTTAAGCACCTATACATTACAATATTATATATATTAATTAATCATAGATGCATGTATAATATACAAGCAAAGCCTTAATTTACAATAGGCATGTGCAAAATTTATAGCATTATTAAAATAAATGTTTAAATAAAATTAAAATTGCTATAGCAAATGCCAAATATATCTATTAATTAACTTACCTCTACTTTTTCTTTGTCATTTAAATGACGACCAATAAATGAAGCAATGTCATTATTTCTTATTGTTATACCAGAGTTGCTCGTGCAATTTGTTTTAGTCTTGCATATAGATGAGAAAAGTAAATAATATACAAGTGTTATTACTTATTACATTACTACTGAACTATAAGCGCTCAAGATAAGAAAATTTATGTTAAGAAATGCCAATCAAAAAATCAAGGCAAAGGAAAGCTAGAAAAATAACTATATTAATTTGAAAAATAAAATAAAAAATAACTTGCATTTGTATCATCATAGGTTATTTTTTCTTCATTAGGCTGTTGTGCAGTAACCAGAATTTGTATGGGATTACCTGATTTAGTCACATCAGAACCTAGTGAATTACCACGTGGTGCTCGTAGTGGTGAATTTGAATTTTTTCTTTTATAAAATTGATGCATTCTTTGTGTTTGTTTTATCCATGGTTGATGTATTTGAGATTTAAAATCAAAATAATTTAACAATAAAATAAATTGGAATAATAATAATAATAATAAAACTCATAACAAGAATGTCAAAGAGAAAATGTATTGCAAACAATTAATGTACACAAGCTCAAGTCGTAATCGATCAACATTTAACTACTATAAAAATGTAAAAAAAAAAAAAAATTAATTTTACCATTACTAAATCGTAATATCAATGTTTGGAAACCGGCAAGTAGGTAAGTAGTATCAGTTATCATAGGATAATGGATTGTCGATAGTCAATCGATCAGTTAATATGAAGTTAGATACGTGTATCCTTCTTGATTACGAAATAATAAAAAAAAAAATGGTTTTTATTTCAATTGTGATTTTTGAATTGTGAGTGCAAAAATTGCATTTGTTGCAAAAATATTTTTTTAACCCTCATATCTCCCCGTAGATCCGCCACTACTAGTGTATGCACGATAAAATAAATGTTTTTGTTTTATTCTTATTTTTTTTTTTTTTTTTTTTATTCCTTTTTTTTAAAATGAATGTAACCACTCTCCCATTAATAATTTTACAAGTTTCAATAACAATTCTATTAACAGTCGTATGACCAAGATGGTAACTAAATGAAATTGCCTTAAGGGGGCTGCAGCAGATCGTGTTTTAAAGAAATTAATATAGGAAATTTAACATAACGATATTAAAGTGTGCAATTCTACAAATAATGCAATAGAATGATAGGATAGAGCATTAAATTTGGCACTGGAGGCTAGCTAATCATATAACACATAAAAATGTATTGATATGAAATAGCGTGAACAAGAACTGCAGCCTGCAGGAGGCCAAAATTGAACAATGATAGCTGGAATATTCCAACCATAAAAATGGCGAAAAAATATTTAGATCAGCGATTAAATACCTACAATTGTAAAAGATTACTGTGAAACCAATTAAAATAAATATATAAATTTTATTGTACATAATTTGGTATTATAGTATTTTTTATTTATTTTTTTACTTAAACTATTTATTGTAATGTGTACTGTATAACATGGTTTTGAAATTATTTTTATATTTTGTAATGGGTTATTTCGATATTTCGACTGTATATACTTAAATAATATTCTGTATTATAATATGTATTCTTTAAACAAATGGTTAAAGTAAAATATAATTCCGACATGACATACAAAGGATAGTAATACCAATCTAATTCAAATAATATGTTTTTATTTTAGGTTGTAGTAACTGAGAAGAAATCCAGATATTCAAATGCTAAATTTATGCAATCAAAAGCTTTTTTGTACTTAAGTAAGTTTTTAATAATATAATTTACCATTGGCCCGTTTTTTCAAGCCTGAATTACAATGGGTTTTGGAACACGAGACTAATCCGCATTTATAGCTCTCAAATTTTGAACTTTCAACCTTTATAACTTTAAAAAAATTGTATTACTCAATCTTAGATTCAGTCTGAGTGGAGCAATGAATATATATTGATTTTATAATGATGTTTTTTTTCGTGTATTTGATTATTAGTTGAAAAAATGCTTTAGTATTCATCATTAAAGGTGGTTTCTGTACAAAAATACAGTTTGTACATGCAAAAGTCAAAAATTCCCAATATTTTTCAAAATTATCAAAAATATGAAGGAAATACATGAATTATACCTATTGATGGAGCTGATCCATCGTTTCTGATCAGAATCAATTCTTGTATACAATGCATATTATTGAATTTTAATTTAACACATTCATTAAATTGACCTAGTCGAAACTTATCGTTAATCAGAGTAGTATCCCTGCCATCATTTTTACATTTGTATTGAATTTTATAGTTTTTTACTATTTAATTTAAATAAAAATACAATTATGTAATTATATATGTATACACAATTTAACATTTTTTAAACAAAGATTATTTAGACAACGTAATAACTACCACTGTAATATATTATATTTATAGTTCTTAAGTATGGGCACAATTTATTAATCTTTTGTATAACATTCAACTACACATTTCAAAACTCCTATTTTCACTTATTTATGCAGTTTGTATGATAAATTAATTGATTTAATGGTTCAATATAATTCAATAACTAAACACGGGCTACTAAATCGCGTTTAAGTGACCATTACTCGTATATCCCTTTATTGATTCAATAAACAGTTAATGATTGTTCATATAACTCGATGTTAAAAACTATTATTCTTATTAACTATCAATTTATTATAAATTTATTTTTTGGTAATTTCTCGTGTTATAAACATTATTTTATTTATTTAAATTTTTATGGAATGATCACATAAAAAAATAATTTTTAAAACTAGATGGGTCATTGTAATTTTATAATAAATTTGAGATAATAAGTACCTACGTTTATTTAAAAAATATAATTTGTGTAACTTTTTCCTAGATTACAAAAAAATGAAAAAAAATGAAGTTAACAAATCTCTCAAAGAACATTTAAAACAGTTCGATAAAAATGAAACACATTTAAAAGAGGTAAGTAACGTAAATTCTTACATGAAAATACTTTTCTTCAAGTGTTTGTAACTTTCCTATGTATTTCATTTATAGTTTTTATGTTTTTAAAGATACATTTAGTCATAGTCTCATTAAAACAATCCATTTTGAATTGGTACTCATAAAATTTGTAAATTTAATTTAACCAGAAAAAAAGTTTCTTTTCACAAAAACAAATTATCAAGGTTAAGAACTTTATTTGTCAAAGAGTTTAAATTAATTTAAAATATTTAGAATATAATATGATATATAGTGAAGTTCTAAAGTCTATTACTAAAAATAATTCATGAGTATCTTATTAGAATTAGTCTTCTGGTGATAAGACATTTTCGACATATCTCAAGAATGAAATACTTGTCTATTGGTCTAAACATTTTTATTATTTAATTTGAACGTATAATATGTTAATTGTTTGTTTGTAATTGCTCGTAAATTACATTATTTAGAAAAGAATTAAATGTTTAAAGCGCCTGTCTCACAGAGAAATTTACCATAAAAGTAGCTGCATATGCTTATTAGAAAATGTTTAGTCTCCTTTGTTATGACTCTAGATGTCACTAAAATTGAGTCAGGTTATGTAAACAGTTGAAAACAATTAAGCATAGTTATAAAATTAATATTTATACGATTTTTATGTCACTAAGTACATAAATAACTTTGTTTAATCGGTACAGGTCCGGCTTAGTGTTATGATAAGTGTCTATTTTAAATATATTTATGTACAAATGTTACATGTGTTAAAAGTTAGAATATTAAATACAATAGTACATGTTACCACTGAATTAATTATTAATGCATTTGAAAAATTTATAGAAATTACATGTAAAACAAATAATTTTTTCTACCAAAAAAGCTTTATTTTTTCATGCGTAATTGTGGATTTGTCCAAGATAAATTGTGTATCTTTCTAATTTAAATAATGTCGGAAAATATTTTTAATGTTTAGAATTATTACTACAAACATGTAATTTTGAAATTACAGTGAATAATTCAATAAGTATTTGAAAAAGACATGTAGCTTATTAGTATTTAAACTAAATCTGAAGCAATCTAAAATGAATTTATCCATTTTATGTTATAGCTTTTTGAAAAATGCTACAATGTAACAAACGGCTCTATAAAAAAGAGTTTATCTATGATGAAACAGATTGAGACTGAAACACGAGTTATAATTAATCATCCAATAACTTTATCTTCTGAAATAAGGAATAGGTAAATATCATCCAAATCTTATTTAATTTTCTCTATTGTGTGTTTATAAACTTAAAATTAAATTAAACTATTTAAAATTCTGTTATAGGTTGCCTATGTTCTCCCGTAAAGATAAGAAAACTTTTAAAAGAGTTGATAATATGGAGGATAAAAAGAATAAGGCAATACGTTTAATGCAAATAATTGATAACAAAAATTTAATATTATTTGGTAAATATAATTCAAAAAAGGATAAAAAAATCCTCTACTCAAATAGAGTTATTAATACGGTACCTAAAATAGATGAAAATTATTATGATTCACGTAGTTCGGATAATGAAAATAATGAAAGTGAAAATAATTGTTGTCGCTTAACTAAATCTTATAGCCTACATTCCATTCAGAAAGATTCTTTCAGAGTAACTAAAGATTCTAAATCTCGTTCTGTTCGTATTGGCCGTAAAAAACCTTTTTCACGTAAGAAAAATCCGATTAATAATGTTGAAGAAACTATAGTTTCACAACCAAAAAAAAACGGAATTGTTCAAAATGCTGCCAACAAGTCTCTGCTCAAAAAAAATATTTATGTTGAAAAAATTATGATTCCACAGTTAAAAATTGATGAAACTGTTCAAAATGTTAAAAAGTTTGGGTTGAAAATAGTTGAAGAAAATGTGACACCACATTTAAAAAAGGACAAATGCGTTGAAAATGACCAAGATTCTGCGTTGAAAATAGTTGAAGATAGCGGAGAGATTATGATTCCACGGTCGATTGAA